GGCCTCCCAAAATCCCAGAAGTACCCAGGCTGGGCTCCCAGCTGTAATCCTCCTGTCTCAGCCTCCCAGAATGCTGGGCTTACAGGTCCGAGCCACCACACTTGTCCCACTTTGTCTTAATTGTACTAAGTGTATGAAACCCAGATTTGCTGTCTCTAGTATCACACTTTCACTTTTGTTTCATATTTTAATAAGGAGGAGAAGGCAATAAAATAATTGCATAATACAAATTCATCAGCAAAACTAATGACTGCCAATAACTTAACTGAGATGCCTGACTATATCACATCAAAAATATTAACTCATTAGCTGATAGGGAAAAACCTGAATTGAAAGGTGAGCTGCAGGTAGTCGAAATTTGAATATCTGAGTGCTGTGAGATAGTTCAGTGGACTGAGCGCCTGCTTATGCAAGTGCAGGAACCAGGTTTCGATCCCCTGCACCACATGCCAGGCCAGCCCCGCCCCCGGGCCCGCTGAGCCGGCCACCGAGACTGGGCATGGTGGCACACATCTATAATCCCAGCGCTGGGGAGGCTGAAAACTGGAAGATCACCACGAGTTGGAGCTGTGTAGTGAGACCCTGTACCAAACCCCTTTTTTTTTTTTTTTTAACAAAAAAGGTCTTCCTACATACGTGGTGTGGTCAAATACAGTGAATGTTTAACTTTAAAAATTTCTTATTACACTGAAAGATACACTGCCATTAATCCCTCTCAAAATATTCACTTTGAATAAAGTTATCCTGTTGTTCCTGCCACTTTGTAAATCAGTTTGGAAGTCCTCTTTGATTTCTTTAGTTGCGTTGTCCTGGCTGCCTTAGTGTCCTGAATTGACTCAAGAGTTTAAGCTTCATGGTCATTTGGATGTTGGGGAAGAGCCAGAAGCTGCGTGGCATCCGACCCTGTGACTGGGGGGGTGGCGGGTGAGGACGCACTGTCGCATTTCTAGAATCCTGCTTTTGCAGCATCACTCACCGTGTTTTTCATAAAGACACTCACAGAAGAGGACTGCCAGAGCTGCTTCAGAAAGTGGAAAGAAGGCGCCGGGGAGATGGCTCAGCGGAATAAGCGCTTCCTTGGCAAGCGCAAGGGCCTGAGTTCAATCCCCAGTTCCGCAAAAAAAAAAAAAAAAAGAAAAAGAAAAAAAGAAAGTGGAAAGAATGATGGGATAGGTGGGTTCTAAAGAAGAGGAGCATTTTGAGGGAATTTATGGCAATATATCTTTTACTGTAATAAATTTTTTATTTTTATTTTTTTATTTTTTTAATATTTATTTATTTTTACTTATTACATTTATTTATTGTGTGTGTGTGTGGCCAGCTCAGCCCACCAGGGGGCGGGTCTGGCTGGCATGTGGTGCTGGGGATCGAACCGCGGTCCTTGTGCTTTGCCAAGCTTGTTTCAAGTAGGTGCTTTAGACCACTGAGCCATCTCTCCAGCCCCTGTAATAAATTTTTTAAAGTGTAAATGTTCACTATATACTGTGATCACTGTTGGATCGCTGCAGTCACTCTACCGTAAAATTTAGCACTTCCAATTTTTTCCCAATACTTTTGTCAGACTTTAACAAGTCTCTCTTTTCCAGGGAAACAATGGATGGAGGGTGCACCAGGAGGAATATGTGACTGTCCACTAAGGCCAGGAGCCATTTGTACCAATTATGTCCAGAAACACAGCAGACACTTCTGGAACCCACTCTGGATCTAAGCGTCAGTGAGATGCCTGCGGTCTCCAGACATCCTAGGAGAACGCCAGGCTCTCCCTCGCTCCCAGCCTTATCACTTGTTCTTTTTCTTTTCTTTTAGAAACAGAGTCTCCCTATGCAGTTCAGGCCGGCTTTGATCTCACTTTGTAGCCTAGGTGGGCCTGGAGCTCACAGCGGCCTCCCCCCTCAGCCTTCTGCGTGCTAAAGTTACAGGTGTGCACCACCACACAGGGCTGCCACCTGATCCTTTATATCTGCCTTATCAATCCCAGATCTTGGAGAAATTCTACTGTCTGTATTTTCAGCTCACTGTTCCAGGGTGCTAAGCATCCCTGGAGAGAATTGTAGTAATGGCTTGTGTCTAGATGACCCCCGAAGCCTCATGTGGTTAGATGTGGGGAATTTCCAAGTGGCTAGATTAGGGTATGTAATGCTGGGATTGAGGGTGACTTGCCTGGGAGTGTGGGTGGCACCACCCAAAAGGTGGATAGCCTGGGAGGGACTGAAAAAAGGCAGGCCCACTGCTGCTACTACCTCCTGCTTTGCTGCCCACTGCTTGCTTGCTGTGGACTATTTCTCCTCTGTGATGCCCCTCTGCCATGCCACATGGCCTTGGATCCAGCTGAGTAGGAGCTGAAGCTCTACTAACTGTGAGCTACAATAAACCTTTCCGCTTTTAACTTTTGGTGTCGGGTGTTTTGTCTCAGCAATGAGAAAAGTAGCAAAGACAATTACAGTGGTACACAAATGTTTTTGTTTGCAAACAATTTGGTTCTCAAACCCAAGTGTTTGGCAAAATTTTGCTTTTGTTTGCAGACACAGCTGTGACCATCTTTCCCACACAAACACAATCATGGCCATCTTCAAAATCATAGGACAAATCAAGTTTTTGAATGGAGGTACCATTGCATGTTCTTTGCTTTACCTGACTCTCTGTAGCTCTTCCCCTTTTCCACTCCAGGAGCACCTGACTTCAGCAGATGACCAAATTTCCTCTGCTGGGAAATCAAGAACATCTGACTTGGTTTTACTTTTCATCTTTCTAGTCTGAAAATTTTTCTGAGCCTCAATTTTCCTTTCCAAAAATAACTTCTCCATCCTTTATCAAGGATCCTGCTTCCTATAAACCTCTACCAGAATTTGTGATTTCCCCTCTCTGGTGGAATCATTACTCTCTTGGTCTCCAGTAACTCCTTTTCAATATATGGATACACCTAAGACCTCTTTAAAATTTTATATTATTATTAATAGGTGCTGGGAGTTGAACTCGTGACCTTGCACTTGCTAGGTAGGCACTGCACCACTGCACTATGTACCCAGCCCTGCTCAAGACATTTTTAGTCCCTGTCATCTGCATTAGTTATCTACTACTGCATAACAAACTGCCCTGAAATTGGGAGATTAAAACGGCGAATACTTATTATCTCGCACTTTCTGGAAGTCCGGAAGACCAGCCTCTCAACCAGCGCAGGCTCTGTGTCTGACAAAGCGACCAAGATGCAACCAGAGCTGCAGCCAAGATTCAGCCATGCCCTGTGGAGCTGGAGAATCCACTCCCGGGCTAAGTGTCCTCACCTCGCAGTCCCAGCTTCTCCCCCAGAGCAAGTGACCTCAGCAAGCAAGCAAGAGGGAAGCCCCACGGCTGCCACGACCTGGTCTGGGAGTCGCTCCCCATCACCGCTGCCTCATTCTGTTTGCTAGAAGCAAGCATTCAATGCGGCCCATACTAGAGGAACAGAATTAAAGAAAATAGCTCCTTTTTTTCTTTAATTCAGAAAGGAATTTTAAAAACTTGGTGAGCAAATGTTAAAACCACCACATTTTTTTTTCTTTATTTTACTTTGTTTTGAGATGTCTCTCTATACAGCTCAGGCTGGTCTGGAACTTGATGTGTAGCCCAGGCTGGCCTGGAAACACTAGATAATCCTCTTGCTTCAGCCTCCCAAATCCTGGGATTACAGGTTAGCACTACACCTGGCTGAAAATTTCACATTTCTTTAAAAAATTTGTTTTAAAGCTGCTGTTCATTCTAGCTGCTTCTCTGCCTCTTCTCAAAATGGTGATCTGTTCCCTTCCCTTGCTTTCTCATCACTCAACCCTGAGCAATGACATTGAGATCCTGAACCTTAGCTGAGCTCTACTTCTCTAAAACAGCATCACAGCGAGTGCTCTGGGGCCCTACACAACCCAGCTGCCGCCCAGCCTTTGCGCTAGTCCTGGCTTCTACCGGAGCCCTACGCGTCATGCCACACACATGCCTTCCCTCTCCACAGGGTCTACAAGGTGTTTAGAGTCTCACAACTAGATCGGACTCACAGTGATCCGCCTGTTTACAAGCCTCCCAAGAGCTGGGATTACAGGTGCGCGCCACCACGCCCAATCTCAATTGCCATTTCAGCGCGCCCCAGGGGCGGGGCCCGCACAGCAGACCCCCGAATCCCCTGCCTCTGAGCCTGCTTGCAGGCGCTTTAATCCGCTGAGCTATTTGCCCAATTTGCCCAGCCCTGCACTTGTTCATCTCGCAGGAGCCAGCTCAGATCCAAGCTTCCCTTGGTCTCTCGCCCTCTCTCGGGCGCCTCCAGAGCACACACACCGCTGGCTTCTCGAGCGTCGCCCCCACCGTTGCAGCGCAGGCACAGAGCTCTTTCTGTATTCTTTTCAGCACCTCTGGCAGTGCTAGAACTAAGTCCGTAATCTTTTATGAATGAATGCATTTATCTAAGTCATTAAAATTTAATTCTACTCACATCAAAAGGCAAAGTAGAGTCCCTATAGTCTCCAGGTATATTACATTCATCTGTTGAACAAGGGACATTGTGGAATAGCCTCTGCTTAGAGAAAAATACAGCTTTCTTTTCTATTGTTGGAACAATTTTAATGGAATGACTCAAATCAAATCGTGATTGTTCACCAAAGAGGTTTGTTTCTAAGATATGTTTGCATATAGTATTTCTGCAGTTCCTGGTCAACATGAAATTTCCATGGAAACAGATCACGCACACTGGAGAAGAAAGAAATCAGATTGTGTTGGAGCCACATTTTGTCAACCCCGTGGAGCTGCTTGGCTCAATATTTGAGTCCTCAGGGAAACGGCAAGTGAAAATAACCTAAGGAAAGACCTAATATTTTATCCTTTTACAATAGAAATAGTTGCCATCATTTAAAACATTTTATTAATATGTGGAGATACTATAAAATGAATTTTAATATTTGAATTATAATTTAATTTCAGAAAATAAATGTTCCTTTTGCCTCTGTGTTAGTGCAGAAAAGAGAAAGAAATTAAAAGCTCGGCATGGAAAATGTGGCGCTGCTATTTTCAGTATACAGACAAAATAATTTGTTCTATTTATGCTAAAATGCTTCTAGTCTACATTTGTTTGGCTCATGATAAACTATCTAACAATCTTGATTCCAAATATGACTAATGAAATATAAGGACAACTTGAAATACATGTCCACAATCCATGAGATGAACATGTTTTTCAACCACTAAATGGTGCTGTAAATCTTTATGAGTAATGTATTATTCTCTTTCTCTCTTTTTTTTTGTATTCTTTTCTTAAGCATTGTAAAAATTTAACTAAGAACTTAAAATGGCTAGAAATATATTTTAGGGAGGTACTGGGAATCGAAGATTAGAAATACTGTATTGTGGAAATTATCCTTCTCTTATATATCTGTGGACTATCTGTAAATTGAAGTTCACAGACATCTATTCATATAACTCAGCATGGTCAAGAGCCATCAAAAGCACCCCTAGATGGTCTTGGGATTTGCATGTACTTATAGCAATTGTGCATTTTTATCTTTACATTTCAATAAACATAATGAGAACCAACATAATAGAAAAATGGAAAAGAATTACAGAAGCTGTATATGCTTTTCATTAACAATGTGCATGTAGACTGGTGTGGTAGTGCATGCCAATAATCCCAAACTGGGGAGGCTGAGACAGGAGGATTGCTCGGAGTTTGAGGCCAGCCTAGGCTACAAAATGAGTTCAGGGTAGCCTAAGCTGCATAGCAAAACCCTATCTCAAAAAAAAAAAAAGGGTGGTTGGGTGGGGAGGAGCCTGTGAGATAGCTCAGTGGTCTAAAGCACCTGCTTAGGCATGTTTAGGCAAAACTCAGGGATCACAATTCCATTCCCAGCACCACATGCCTAGCCAGGCCCAACCCCAGGGTAGGCTGAGTTGGCTACATAAAATAAATAAAAAACAGAAAGAGAGAGAGAGAGAGAGAGAGAGAGAGAGAGAGAGAGAGAGAGAGAGAGAGAGAAAAGAAAGAAAGAAGCTAAATCACAAACCATTTAAATCTTCCTCCTTTCCTTCAGATTCATTCTCCAACCTTCTCTGTCATCTGTGCCCTAAGATTAGATTCACCTAAATCCTCAAACACAACCTGGGCTCTTCTTCCTTTGGTTTCAAGTTGGGTGCAGCAAGTGTAGGATGGTAGTAGTAGGAAACTGGTAAGAAAGTGGAGTGTCAAGGAGATAGCTCAGTGGCATAAGCACCTGCCTGGCAAGCACAAACTCCCGAGTTCGATCCCTGGTTCCAAAAAAAAAGAAGAATGTGCAGAAGACACATTTATTTCCCTGGCTCCCTCTCTGCAGCCTCACACAGTCCTTCTGTCCAGAGCTAGAGCTTCTGTCGGGTGGGCCTCACCACACATTGCTCCCGGAGGGCTCAGTGACCAGGCCTTCCTTGCTCGTGCCCTTTCAAGCTGAAAGGCGCAAATGGCTCCCTCCCGTTCCTAGTCCTGGGTTATTGCTGCGCCCCTCCCCTTGTGTGCAAACCTTGCCTTCTCAGTAGCCCCGTTATTAAGCTCTGCTTTCTTGCTTAGGTGGAGGGTGCTGTCTTCCTGGATCCTGACAGGTACAGATGGTATTGATTTCACACTACTCAGGCATTTCTTTGTTCATGAAATATTTTACAGCTCCATCTTGCCTATCCCCTGCTCTCACATCCTCCAGGTCTTCCAGGGGCTGTGCTGCTCTCTCCTGCATGCTGGTGAGCAGGACAGAAATGGCCCTCTCTGCATGCTGGGCATCTTTATGAAGATGAGTCTGTCGTCCTCCTCCAAGGGCCAGCCTGCCTCACTCTCAGTCCTCTTCACTGGTTTTCAACCCTAGCTCCCTCCCTGCTGGGCCTGGAGCCTCCCCTTGAATCCCAGTCTTGTTCATCTTGCCTGTACTTTCCCCAGAGGTGCACTTTTCTCCCCTATTGTGTTTCAGTGGCTGGTTGTTCCCTGACACTCAGATGAATGCCCTTGTCACTGTATCTGGCTTGCTCTTAAACCTGAAAACTGTCTCCAAAATCCTTTATGTTATGCTACCCCTGTCTCTCAGATTGGAATCCTATGAACTGATTCTCCTGGAATCCTCCATATGAACTGACAGCCCACCTTGGAGACGATGCCTATTGGGTAAGCTTGTCCCCCAGTTTCCATGCTCCCTCCATGCACTACTGGGGGTAGGCCTGGGATACTTAATGAACAAGGTTACACCCAGTGTAAATGGAAGAGGGACAGGATGCTTTCTAAATAACCAATGAGCATGCTTTTGTTTACTAATAAGTTGGCATTTTGACTTGCACATTAGGCCTTGTAAATCAATTCACAAAGTTTTTAATCACTCTCCTTAAATATGAAAATAATGTGTTGGGATTTAAGAGCCTGACAATTAAGACCCTACAAAAGGAAGTGATAATCCTTGAACTCTAGCATAAAGAATTTGCCAAGAAAGAATTTTAATTGTCCAATTAAGAAAGATTGAAATTGGGGCCGGGGAGATGGCTCAGCAGGATAAGCGCTTGACTGGCAAATGCAAGGATCTGAGTTCAATCCCTGGTTCCACAAAAAAAAAAAAAAAAAAAAAAAAAAAAAAAAAAAAAAAAAAAAAGATTAAAATTATTATATTCATAAACCAATATTTTGTCCAGAACCTGCTAAATACCAGGCATTGTATGTATATTACCTTATTTATCTCTAAAACCCTGAAGATTTGGTATTTTACTGGTGACTGGAGGTTAAAAGAGGTTGGCTGTCTCGACTCACTGCTACTATTTTGGGAACTAAAGTTTGAATTCAGCCTTCTTGAAAAAGTTCATGATATGTTGTTGTATCAGTATGACTGATGGGCCAGTGAGATAGCTCAGCACATTGAAGGCCTGCTCAGGCAGGCACAGGGACCAGGCTTTGATCCTCAGCACCATGTGGTGCACCGGCCCTGCCCTGGGGTATGCTGAGCTGGCCACTGAGACCCGGTGTGGTGGCACATGCCTGTAAGCCCAGGGCTAGAAGGTTGAAAGCAGGAGGATCACCACAACCCCGAGCTGCATAGTGAGACCTTGTACCAAATACATTTTCATAAAATATATATGACTATTGGGCAGTCCTTGAAATAATAAATAAATGTTATGACTATCAATGTAAAGTAAAATTTATTAAAATGCAAATGTAAGATATGTAAAAGATAAACATTAAATGATCATTTACTGGCTTTTTTTTTTTTTTTTTTTCTGTCTTTTTGAGACAGGGTTTCACTATACACTTCAGAATGGCCTTGAACTCACTTTGTAGTCCAGGCTGGCCTTGAAGTTGCAGCGACCCTCCTGCTTCAGCCTCTTGAATGCTGAGATTACAGGCAGGCACAAGCATGCCTAGCCTTAAACAATCATTTATATAATGAAGCTTAGAGAAAATAGTTGCACTTTAGAGCAGTAAGAGTTTTGGGTAAAATTTTACTTAAGTATTTCACTTTGTTGCTGATATTATTATAAGAGTCATTATCTTTGAAATTTTGGGGTAACTTCACTATTAGTGTATGGAAATACGATAAACTTTTGTATAATGACCTTGTAGCCCACAGCCTTGTTGCACTCACGTCTGTTTGTTTTTTGTCTTTTTGAGACAGGGTCTCACTATGAAGTTCAGGCTGGCCTTGAGCTCACTTTGTAGCCCAGACTGGTCTCAAACTTGCAAGGATCCTCCTGCCTGCGCCTCCCAAGTGCTGGGATTACAGGTGTGCACCACCACACTCGGCCTACTCACTCACTTTGAACTCTAGGATTTTTTCCTTACAGCTTTCTTGTGTATGTCAACCGAAAATGAGATTTTTTTTTTTCTTCCTTTCCAATCCACGTGACTTTTCTTTTTCTTGTTCCCACCAGCTTATTAGCTATAGGTTTTCCGGAAATGCAATTTATGAGCCCTGACACTCCACTTTCTTACCAGTGTCCTACAGCTACCATTCCACACTTGCTGCACCCAACTTGAAACCAGAGGGAGAAGGAGCGCAGGTTGAGGTTCAGGGTTCCGGTGGATCTGACCCTTAGGGTACAGACAACAGAGAAGGCTGGAGAATGAATCTGAAGGAAAGACAGAACATTTGAATGGTGTGTATTCTCATTGGCTTTCTTTTCTTTCTTCCTCTCTTTCTTCTTTTTGATATAGGGTTTTGCTATGCAGCTCAGGCTACCCTGGAACTCATTTTGTAGCCTAAGCTGGCTTCAAATTCTGAGCAATTCTTTTTTTTGGGGGGAGGAGGTATGGCTCAGGTTGCCTTCAGGGCATGTGTGGCAAGGCCTGAGAAATAGGGGATTCGAACCACAGCACCCTGAGACTGACTGCTATGTTTAAGCAGGTACTTAAACAACTGAGCTAATGGGCAGGCTCCCTAATTCTAAGCAATCCTCCTGTCTCAGCCTCTCCAGTTCTGAGATTACTGTCATGCACTACCACCCCAGTCTATATGCACATTGTTAATGAAAATCATATACAGCTTTTATAATTCCATTTTTCTATTATATTGGTTCTGATTATATTTATTGAAATGTAAAGATAAAAATGCACAATTGCTATAAGTACATGAAAATCCAAAGAACACTTAGTGGTGCTTCTGATGGCTCTTGACCATTCTATTTCATAACTTCATACATTACTTAGAAATTCCTGGGCTGGCAAGATAGCTCAGTGGTCTAAAGCACCTGCTTAGGCAAACATGCAGGGACTGTGGTTCGATCCCCAGCACCACATCGCATGCCAGACCTGTCCCCAGGGTGGGCTGAGCTGGCAAGAAATTCCTAGATATTTGTCTTAGCGATTCTGTTAGTAAGTACTTTGGAAACCACTATTAAATGACTGAGTCTCTAGTATAATAGACACAGAAATGCTTAGTCCTCATCTCTTGAGTTGTAGTTGTCCCTTTCAAATATTAGTCAAGAAATTTTGGGATGATCATCACATTCACTGTGGAAACTACTTTGGCTATACTGTCAGACAAAGAAATGGCTGGGCTATTCCTCAAGTACCTGTGTGCTATTTCCTATTTTCTTAAAATCCTCTTGTAGCTTTGTATTTGACCAAGCGTAGGAAGCTGCCCAAGTTGATGACAAATAGTCACTAACACAGTAGGATTCTTTATAATCCTGGCAATCAGAACTGAGAAACACAAAGTTAGTTTCCAATGAGAAAAGTAGGGGAAAATGCCCACAGGGAAGTAGAGATGAAAAGAGAGTCTCCAAACTCTGCGGCTGAGGGAATTATTAACATACTCTGGTTTTAGATCCTGTGATTTTTGTCTTCATGAGACTTAGCTATTCCAAGATTTCTGTGGGCTTCTTACTCTCCTGACTCATGCCTGTAACCAACTGTCACTACTTTACAGGGTTTGAAGAAGTCTTTATTGCTAACTCATGTAAATTTATCTGTAGGGGAGACGGCCCATGACTCCCCAGTTGATGTCTGAATGCCAGTACATTTTTTCCTACCCACACAGACTAGTGAGAAAGAATATCTATTATTCTAAAATCTATTATGCATTGCAAGAGGCCAACAACAATAATATAAGAATTTTAATATGCTGTAAAAAAGTTAGTGAATGTGGCCTCTCAAAATACTGTATGTTCTCACCCTTCTTGTGATGTGAGACGATTTACAATGCCTACGTGATGAGGGGGGGGAAAGCGAGTGACTAAGCACATGTCACACCTTTTGGCTGTAACTTGCAGTATGAGGTGTCACAGTAAAACTAGCATGGATTTTTCCTTCTCTATAATTTCATGGAGAAAAAATTTGTTCTTACTGTAGATCTCAGCAACTTCAATGTATGATTTTTTTCCTTCCTTACCAGCCAAAGATTTTTACCTTTTTAAGGGAGACACTTTATGAAAACAATTCAAATTGACACCATCATTACTCCTGTGCTTCACAACACTTATTTGACAGGGTCACATTATATATTCTAGGCTGTCCTTGAACTCACTATGTAGCCCAAGCTGGTCTCAGAGTCACAGTCATCCTCCTGCCTCAGTTTCCCAAGAGCTTGGATTATAGGTAGGCATACCACCCCTAGTTTAGGGTGATTGTTATGTAAAAGAAAATACAAGCACTGAACACATGCACTGTGATACCAGAATAGTTAATTTGATAACTGAAACAGCTGATGAAATTGAGGGAAAAGGTGAATAAATCTGCTATCTTCACTCGCTCTTAGTTACTTGCTTAGTTGACTTTCAACATCACTAACTTGCCTCCAGCACTCAGGAGGCTGAGGCAAGAGGACTGCTGTGAGTTTGAGGCCAACCTGGGCTACATAAAGTGAGTTCAATGCCAGCCTGAACTACATAGTGAAACCTTCTTCAAAAATCAAAACCACTCCTTTTGGAAGTCACACAGTTGACTGACAGTGTCTGACTAGGTCTGCCTCTAATGATAACCATGCCTAATGTACACTTCAGGGACTGGCAGGCTGTTTTTGTCTGGATCACTAACTCTTACTATTTTTTGATAATGGAGAATGAACTCAGGACCTTGGGCTTCCCAGGCAGGCGCTTAAGCCGCTGAGCTAGCTCCCTGGCTGGATCACTAACTCTTTACTTGGACCTCTGCAGGTATTTCACCTGTCACCTTTTGACCTCAAAAGGCCCAATTCTACCCTCGGACTGCTGATACTGCCATCTTCTGGACATGCACCTATGAAGAGCTAGGGAGTTTGATTACTCATGTGCAGACTTCTGGCTGTTTCATCTCCAATCCACTTTCCCAGGCCACAAACCACAATGCTTCCTTACCCCAAAAATACCCCTAAACTTCACCCTTGAGCAGAGCTGGGTGGATGGGCTTCAGATATGGGGTCCCCCTTCATGCTCTGCCAACTTGGGACAGACTCTTCTGTTGTTTCAGTGACCAGCATACTGTGCAGCTAGCAGAATGAGTCTGGTTTGGTAACTCTACTAAGTAACAAGGGCAGGTAGCATATGCCGGACAAGGGGATGATTCATGTGTTGAGCAGGATGGGGCAGGAAAGCGTGATTTTTGCCATGCTATTCAGAATGATGCATAATCTAAAACTGGCAATACCTTTATTTCTGGAATTTTCTATTTAACATTTTTAGACTAAGGTTGAACATGGGAAACTAAAACTGTACAGAGTATAATCACAGATCACAAAACTGGTGAAGGGTGGATGACATTCAGCTGCAAACACTGCTCTTCCAGAAAAGGGAAGAATTCCAACAGCCACTTATCAACCTTCAGGGCTGTCATTCCTTTCATGGGTGTGGAACAGGCTTCCTTCTCCCATGTTTCAGAGGGCAGCGCCTACAGAGAGCTGTGGAGGCAGAACACAAGCTGTTTATGTGGGCAGTTTACCATTAAGAGATGGTATCATAAAATGGGGGTGTAGGGACCCAGCCATTTCAGTGGGGGTACTCCAAAACATCACTGTGAGGTTTTTCACCTGAGACCATTTTGCTTTGTTTCTTCTCTTTTTTGAGGGTCTCATGTGTAGTTCAGGCTGGCCTCAAACTCACATCCATCCTCCTGCCTCAGCCTCGTAAGTGCTGTGATCACAGGCATGTGCCACACGCTTGGCTTCTATATACCAAATTCGGGGATTACAAGTGTCTGCCACCACACCCAGCTTCACCTGAGAACTTTTATGTAGAAAAGAATCTCCTTTCTGGGGTACACACATATGGCGTTGAGGTTCCTCAGCACTGAGAAGGGGTCAAAGGCTGGTCTCCCTTCCTATTTAAAGCATAGACTTTTCATTTAACCTATTGTTCGATTAATCTGGTGTTGACTTTGAGGCCCCTTTGGGTCAAGTTCTCTGCCAGTGTCACCTTCTGTTTCACAAAATTGGAGATAAATTAGTCATTTAGCTACTTGGCCTAGGGAAGTTGGCCTGAACCTAGAAGTCTAATGGCTTGGTATGGATACGTTTTCAGTCAGTCAGTGTTCTTTTCCTCAGCTTCCCACAAAGCGGTGTTTTTCTGAGTCTTTCTGGGGCTCTAAAGTATGAATTGCTTTTTTCTGACATTCCTTACCTTTTGTTTTTCCAGCAAGAATATGCCATCATCTCTCTCATCCCTGTTCTTTCCCACTCCCTTAGGCCCCGTGGGTATTTTCTCATTTTAGTAGGACTTCACAAGGAAGCAAGATAAACACATTTAATCACTCATGTTCAATAAAAAGCTACTTTGCAGGATATTAGTGTTCAAACTCAAGAACTCTTGTTTGCAGTTATGAAACACTTAAGTGATATAAAAATGTTCAGGATACATCCCTTTGTTTCGTCTCAATATCTGCCATGGTTCATACCCGAATCCCCTCCTGCCTCAGCGCCTCAGAGCACACAGGCGAATGCACTCGGGTGGCTAAGAGCTGAAGGGCTCTTTCAGATGAGGGGCGTCCTCCAGTGCTGTGGGCTGGAGGGGTCTAGCTCCCTTCTAGGCTCCTCCTTCCCGCCCTCTGCTTCCACCACCCCGAGGTGGGCAGCTTATTCCGGGCCGCGAGCCTTTCCACCATGCTGCTCTTGCCGTGGAGTCAGCAGACTGGGCTCAAAACGGATTACGGGGTGGCAAAGGTGACTGAGGACGCAGGTATCAAGACGGCCTAAACTCACGCTGCAGGGTGAGCTTAACAGGACGGTGAGTCCCAGGAGAAAAGCGGATGGTGTTGGCCTGTTGCTCCCCAAAGTCTCTAGCTCCTAACAGCCTCAGCGCTTGCGCCCTCCACCCGGGTCTTCGGTCAGGGACATTTACCGCAGTGGGTCCCTCTGCGCCCTTAGCGATCTCACCACGGCTGACCCTAACTGTCCGTCTCTGCCTCACTTCTCCCCTCGACCTCCAGCCTCAAGCCCACTGCGCGCCTGTCCTCGAGAGAAAGCTTTACTACCGCGGCGGTCGACTTCACGAAGCGAAGAGCCACAGACGAGTCTCCGTCTCCACGCCAGAGCGCTCTCCAGCCCCGCCCACTCCCACCCCCGACCCGGGCGGGGCGACGCGCAGGCGGCGGGATCCCTTCTGCGCACGCCCCGCCCCCGCAGAAACGCGAGGGCCAATCAGAGCGCGCCTAGCTCTACGCCCCCGCCTGGCCGCCTCCGTCCTCGTTTGGGTCAGGCCTCGGAACACAATGCCCTGCCCGCCCCGTCGGCCCGTAGGAATGGACCTCCCGAGGACAGCTTCCAGTCTCCTCCTGTGTGGCAGTGGTGGGAAACGCTGCTGCACTTTGACGCTGGGTTTCCCCTGTCTGTCTCTGGCTAGAAACGGCTCTAGATTGCGCTCGGATTAACGGAGTCGTATATTTCGGTTTTCTTTTTTAAAAAACCGAAATATACGTTTCGTCCTCATGAGGTCATCAGGCGACTCTCCTGGCCCAGAATTCCCCGCGCGGCGTGTCTCGTCGGGCGCGTTTCCGGTCGCCGCGCCCCGATCTGCGAGGCGAGGCGCGAGTTTACGGAAGCCCCTCATCTTGCTTTCGCTGTGGTAGTCTTCTTGCAATTCCTGGTTTTCCTAATTAATAGTTCTTTGAGATCTCGTAATTGTAAAATATCTCTGATTTTTGACATAGGAGTAAAGCACCTCAAAATATGGAGAACCCCACAATTTCACCCCTCCCCCACATTATAAATTGTAGTGTTTTCATATACCCAAAACGTTTTGAAGCCAGTTATCTCCCAATAATATATGTATCTTTCTGGGTGAAGAGGTTATATAGATATTTAATTTTTTGTTAGCTATAGTTGACCAAACCATACATAATGTTTTGAAATACATAATACCTTGTGAATGATTACTATAATAAGCTAACTAACATACCATCACATTAAATGTTTATAGCAATTTTTTTTTTTTTTTCAGTACCGGGGATTGAATTCAGGACCCTGTGCTTGCCAGGCAGGCGCTTATTCGGCTGAGCTATCTCCCCGGCTCCAATCGCAATTCTTAATGTTCTTTATTCAAATAATTTATTTAT